TGAGGTTGGCCCAGGATCGAGCATTGTTTCGTTCTGCTGTGCATGGGGTCGCTATGAGTCGGTTCCGACTCGATGGCACCTGACAACAACAACAACAAAATGAGTTTTGGCAGCATAGTTTGTAAGAGTTGGACTGCTAACCGCAAAGTCAGCAACTCTAATCTACCAGCTGCTCTGCAGGAGAAAGATGAGGTTTTCAGCTCCCATAAATATTTACAGCCTTGGAAACCCTATACAGGGTTGCTATGAGTCATAACATATGACTACCACCACCACCACCATAGCTTTAAGGATAATTACCCAATTATAGATCTGTTCTTGTTTTTATTAAGTGTTATTGAGTCAGTTCCTACCCATAACAGCCCTGTATATGGTTTCCGAGGAGTGGCTGGTGGGTTTGAACCACCGACTTTGTGGTTCACACTGACCTTGCAGTCCAGCGCAATATCCATATGTAGTAAAAGTGCTTTATTAGCTACATATCTGTCAGTATCTCTATAACAATGTATGTTCATCAGAATTAATTAACTATTGCTATCCTGAGTTTTCTGTCAGAGATTATTGGTAAAAAAAGGAAAGAAAGAACGTGTTTATTTTTTTGAATGGGAAGAGGGGCTTCTCCTATTTCTTAATGATATAGGCAATTTTTGAAGCATTATCTGTAATATGTTGAAATAAATAACACCATTATGTTATGACATTTATTTTGTTTGAAAGAAGGAAAAAAAAAAACTTATATGGGGATGTTATATTAGTATCAGTTTCTCATTATAGTTATAGAGTAATTCCTTTATACAATATGAATTAATGGAATACTCATAAAGTGCTATCTGTATTGTTGCTAGCTGCCATGTAGTTGGATCCCTGATTCATAATGACCGTAAGTGACAGAATGGAAGTCCTCCATAGGGCTTTCTTGGTTGTCATCTTTATGAAAGCCTGTCACCAAGCCTTTCTTCTACAGAGTTGCTTTGTTGTTGTTAAATGCTGTTGAATCGGGTCTGACTCATAGTGACCCTGTGTAGGGCTTCCAAGGAGCGCTTGCTGAATTTGAACCATTGACCTTGTAATTCAAACCAACCTTGCGGTCCAGTGCTTTATCCCACAGTGCCACAGTAGGATTCCTGTTACGTCCGGCCAAACCACCAATCTTTAGATAGCAGCCTATCACAAACCATTCTGAGCCATTCAGTTTCCTGAAATCTATATACAATTTTCCAATTAAAAAACAGGTAAATATGTTCAGCCCTGTGGGTCAGTGATTATTCTAATTCATGGTAATTTGGCACATCTCAAAGTATTCCGAATGGATCAAGGAATAATTTTTCCATCCAGCAATCTGTTTGCATAGTCAATTGTTGCTGTTAAGTGCCATCAAGTCAACTTCAACTCATAGTGACCCTGTATAAGGTTTCCAAGGAGTAACTGGTGGGTTTGAACTGCCAACCTTATAGTTAGCATTCCAGTGCTTATCCTACACAGCTACAGTCACAGCTTAATAAACATTTATTGAGTGCCTAAGTCCTGAAAGAGTTTCCCTGTATTTGAGGAGCTTACATATAAACACTGCATTAACTATATAAGATTTAGATTGTTATAGTTTTTTTGTTTGAATTTTTTCATTCTCCAGGTATTGTGGTGGATATCAGGGTGAGTAAGGAACGTTCTACTTACAGATAAGTTTAACTGATATGCACTGGAACTGAAATGGGAAGCCGATTGTGACATGTGTCACCAGGCAGCTACAGAGAGAAAGCTGTGAGCATTCTGAGGAGAGGAGAGCACATCCAACTGAATAGTTGTTGTTGTTGTTGTTAAGTGCCATCAAGTCGGTTCCGACCCATAGCAACCCTGTACAGGGTTTCCGAGGGTGTAAATCTTTACGGGAGTAGAAAGCCTCATCTTTCTCCCGCGGAGCAGCTGGTAGTTTCGAACCGCTGACCTTAAGGTTCGCAGCCCGATTCGTAACCACTACGCTACCAGAGGGACTAATTTAAGGACAGGTGACTTTGAACTTTGGCCTTGATTCATGAAGATAAGATTCAGAAATCTTTAAGGCAAGATTACACCTTGACTCAAAAATAACCCTAATGAGCTACTGCAGTTAGTGCTTTAAAAGTTTTTATCGATATTTGCCTTTCCCTTTTCTTGTATTTCCTAAATGCATTGCAAAACAAGGGTCTTCTACTTTAACACAACAAACTACAGAAATGATAAACAAACTTGAATTGTTACTGGTTGATATTTACACTGTATTTGGAATAAATTATAGACTTGCATAACTTTCTAAGGAGATTGTATTTACCTCTCAATGTATTAATTTATAGTAGTCATGCAGTTTTTTTGCATAATTTTTTCAAGTTACTAACTAATGTCTTTTTATTTCAAGCAGGGCTATAATATGGATTTAGAACTCGAGGATTATTATAACAAGACCCTGACCACAGAGAACAATACAACTGCCATTCAGAATTCTGGTTTTCCAGTGTGGGAAGACTATAAAAGCAGTGTAGATGACTTGCAATATTTTCTGATTGGGCTCTATACATTTGTAAGTCTTCTTGGATTTATGGGAAATCTCCTTATTTTAATGGCTCTAATGAGAAAGCGTAATCAGAAGACTATAGTAAACTTCCTCATAGGAAATTTGGCTTTCTCTGATATCTTGATTGTGCTGTTTTGCTCACCTTTCACACTGACATCTGTCTTGCTGGATCAGTGGATGTTTGGCAAAGTCATGTGCCATATAATGCCTTTCCTTCAATGTGTGTCTGTTCTGGTTTCAACTTTAATTTTAATATCAATTGCCATTGTCCGGTATCATATGATAAAGCATCCCCTTTCTAATAGTTTAACAGCAAACCATGGCTACTTCTTGGTAGCAGCTGTCTGGACACTAGGTTTTGCAATTTGTTCTCCCCTTCCTGTGTTTCACAGTCTGGTAGGACTTCAGGAAACATTTGGCTCAGAGTCCCTAAGTAGCAGATATTTATGTGTTGAGTCCTGGCCATCTGATTCATACAGAATTGCTTTCACTATCTCTTTATTGCTAGTTCAGTATATTCTGCCCTTAGTCTGTCTAACTATAAGTCACACCAGTGTTTGCAGGAGTATAAGCTGTGGGTTGTCCAGTAAAGAAAACAGGCTAGAAGAAAATGAGATGATCAACTTAACTCTTCAGCCATCTAAAAGGAGTGGGCCTCAGGTAAAGGTCTCCAGTAGTCACAAATGGAGTTACTCGCTCATCAGAAAACACAGAAGAAGATACAGCAAGAAGACCGCATGTGTATTACCTGCTCCAGTGAGACCTTCTCAAGGAAGTCACTCAGGAATGCTTCCAGAAAACTTTGGTTCTATGAAAAGTCACTTGTCTTCATCCAGTAAGTTCATACCAGGGGTTCCTACCTGCTTTGAGATGAAACCTGAAGAAAACTCAGACATTCATGATACGAGAGTAAACCGTTCTATCACAAGAATTAAAAGAAGATCTCGAAGTGTTTTTTACAGATTGACCATTTTGATATTAGTATTTGCCGTTAGTTGGATGCCGCTACATCTTTTCCATGTGGTAACTGATTTTAATGATAATCTTATTTCAAATAGGCATTTCAAGTTGGTGTATTGTATTTGCCATTTGTTAGGAATGATGTCCTGTTGTCTTAATCCAATTCTATATGGATTTCTTAATAATGGAATTAAAGCTGATTTGGTATCCCTTATTCACTGTCTTCATATGTCATAATTTTCAGTGTTTACCAAGGAAAGAAAGAACAAATGTCAAGAGCATCTAAAATATTCACAGTAACTCTGTGTGTGTAATTAAAAGATATTTTATTAACATATGTGACTTTATGCAAAAGAGAATAATTTGAATCATTTGTCAATTTATCAGTTCATAACATTTGGAAAATAATTTTAATATGTTGTAATATCTGCAATTCATTTTACTGTGCAAAGTCAGTGTCAATTTGATCTGTAATTTTATTTGGAAAGGTAGAATACTTTCATATCATCTGTACCTTGTAAACAAATCAATTTTTTAAAAATTAAAGCTCTATTTAATGAAGCATTTTTGTCCAAAAATAAAGTAAGAAAAAATATATTGCCTATTGATTTTGTTAAGTGCTGTTGAGTCAGTTACAACTTATAGTGACCCTGTATAGGATTTCCAAGGAATGGCTGGTGGATTTGAACCACCGGCCTTATGGTTAGAAGTCCAATGTTTACTAAAAGCTTCTCCATGCTTCATTTGTAAAACTATGGAAAATGTTCAATGTGCCCACCAAATCATCACAAAATGACAGATATATGCCCCGAGTCGTAATTACAGTTTCATGCATTGGGGATACTTTTGGAAATCCTAAAATCAAATGCTTATATCCTATCATTGTATTACTGACTATTGGTCAAATTGTTGAATTTCCCAACTGTTCCAAATAAAAATAGATTTTAAATCTTTTTAAAATTTAAGCTAGCAAGTAAAGGTTTTTAAAATACACCTTTTGTATTTTAAATTTCATATTCTTAAGTTCAAAGTTTCAGTAGAATCTGTATTTCCAAGAATTAAACAATCTTAAAGAATACATACCATGTTCATAGAAAAAGGATTGTTGTTAGGTGCCATTGAGTCGGCTCCAACTCATAGCAACCCTATGCATAACAGAACTAAACACCATCTAGTCCTGTGGCAGCCTCACAATCATTGCTAAGTCTGAGACCAATAATGTGGCCATATGCTAATCCATCTCTTTGAGGGACTTCCTCTTTTTCTGTGACCTTCCACTTAACCAAGCATGATATCCTTTGGGACAGTATGAGAGATGAAGTCTGGCCATCCTGGTTTCCAAGGAGCACTCTAGCTGCACTTCTTCCAATACAGATTTGTTTGTTCTTTTGGCAGCCCGTGGTACTTTTAATATTCTCCTCTAACACCATAACTCAAATGTATTGATTCTTCTACCATCTCACTGTCCAACTTTAACATGTACATGAGGATATTGAAAATACCATGTCTTGGGTCAGGCACACCTTAGTCCTCAAACTGTCTTCTTTGTTCTTGAACACTTTAAAGAGGTCTTGTACAGCATATTTGCCAAATGCAATATGTTGTTTGATTTCTTGACTTCTGCTTCTATGAGTGTTGATGGTTCATCAGAGCAAAATGGAGTCTTTGACAAGTTCAATTTTGTTTCCATTTATATGGATGCTGTTTATTGGTCCAGTGGTGAGGATTTTTGTTTTCTTTACATTGAGATGCAATCCATGCCAAAGGCTGCAGCCTCTGATCATCGCCAGAAAGTATTTTAAGTCCTCTTCGCTTTCAGCAAGGAAGGTTGTATCATCTGCATATCGCAGGTTGTTAAGAAGTTTTCCTCCAATCCTGATGCCATGATTATCTTAATATAATCCAGTTTCTCAGATTATTTACTCAGCATACAGATTGGATATATATGGTGAAAGAATACAACCCTAGTGCACACCATTCCTAAGTTTAAACCATTCAGTGGTCCCTTGTTCTGTTTGAACACTGCCTCTTGGCCTGTGTACAGTGTCCTTATGAGCACAATTAAGTGTTCTGGAATACTTTATTTCCACAATGTTGTCCAAAGTTTGTCATAATCCACACAATGGAAAGCCTTTGTGTAGTCAATAAACCACAGGTAAACATCTTTTTGGTATTCAGCCAAGATCCATCTGATATCAGCGATGATATCCCTTGATATCCACGTCCTCTTCTGATTCCAGTTTGAACCTGTGGAAGTTCTCTATCAGTGTATGGCTGCAGCTGTTTTTGTATTATCTTTAGCAAGATTTTACTGGCATGCCATATAAATGATATTGTCTGATGATTTCAGCATTCCATTGGGTCACCTTTCTTTATAATGTGTACAAATATGGATCTCTTCCATTCAGTTGGCTGGGCAGTTGTCTTTCAAATTTCTTGGCATGGATGAGTGAATGCCTTCCGAGCTTCATTACTTTGTTGAAAGATTTTAATTTGTATTCAATCAATTCCCAGTGCCTTGTTCTTTGCCAATGTCTTCAATGCATCTTGGACTTCTTTCTTCAGTGCCATTGGCTTTTTTTTTTTTTTTATTTTAAGGTTTTTATTGTGGATTGAGTGAAAGTTTACAGGGCATATCATCAGTTTCACATTCATCGAATCATATACCTTGCTTCATCACATTGATTATAATGTATACCATATACCATGAGTTAAAAGTATTTCTCTCTATCCAGTTTAGCTTTTTTAAAAACACATAAACAAAAAAAACCACTCAGGCATATATAATAATTTACATCTCCAAAGGACACATTCTCTAAGTCTGCTCCTGGCCACCAGTTCTTAGTCCTTCTCTTCTTAGTTGATGAATCTAGAGTCCTCAGCCGTGTCCCCTCTCCATGCCCCCATCTCTGCCTCCATCTCTGGC